CAGGAGGAGTGGAGCCTGCAGGCGGGGGGAGGGGAGTGGGCTGTTGGGGAGTGAGGGAGTGAGTTGGATGGCAGGGACGTTGGGCTGCTGACGGATCTTGTGCGATGTACGTTTGTGGTGGAGGACATGCAGACGCTGCTGGGGGTGCTGATGAGCCTCCTGGAGCGATCGGTCGTCGGCTTCTTCACCCAGCACGACCTGTACGGGGAGGGAGGGGAGGGAGGAGGAGAGGGCCAAGGGAAGAAGCTGTTCCGCATCACCAAGGTGAAGAATCGCTTCGACGAGGAGTCGAAGGACTTCGAGGAGGCGACGGGTTTCCGCAACCTCTCGCTCTCCCTCGAGGTCGGCTGGACGAGCGACGAGCGGACCTGCCACTTCGTTCCTGTCGCCGCGTGGGAGCGGAACGGGGAGGTGGAGACGCACATCGTGGAGGTGCAGGTGAACACGAGCTGATGCAGATGCAGATGGGAAGGACGTGAGGGGGGGTAGGGGGGAAAGAGGGAGGAAGGGGAGGAGCAAGCGAAGGGGGTTGTCTGGAGGAGGAGAGGAGGGGTGTGGAGTAGGAGGTAACTTTCATGCGGGTGCAGGTTCACCTCCGGCCGCTGTATGAGGTCACCAAGGAAGGAAGCCACGAGAGCTACGTGTTCTGGCGAGATCTCCTTGCCAAGTGAAGCTGCCTGTGCTTGTTGTCTCCTCCCTGCCGCCTCTTTCTCTCTCTCGGCTCTCCTTTCATTCTCTCTGGCGACCAGGCTCAGTCATCCTCTGCAAGTGGGTCCCTGCTGCAGCATCCCCTTGTCTGCCACTCTGACTTGTCCTCTCCTCTCCCTGCCCTGCCTCGCCCCTCGCCTCACCTCCTTACCGATCGGACATGTTCGTGTCCGGTATTCCAGTATGTGTGTGTCAAATGATGAATGAATCGTATGTAAAGGTAATCAATCAGTCGCATGAATGGGTTATGGACTCATCGTTACAACCGTCTAGTCTCCTCCTTCCTCCCTGTCTTTCATCTCGTCATAACTGTCGTTCTCCTGGAGGAACTTGAGGACTTGGAACCAGCACTCTTCCCGAGCGTTCTTGCCGATCAATAAATCGAAGTGACCTGCACGTGCCGTCGAAATTAGCTCATGAGAGGAGGGAGAAGGGAGGGAGAAGGGAGGGAGAAGGGAGGGAGAAGGGAGGGAGAAGGGAGGGAGAAGGGAGGAGGGAGGGAGAAAGAGGGGAGGGAGGAGGGCGGTTGCCCTTACCATAGGAATGCTTCTGGCCATTCTGCTTCCCCAAGCAGATGTACCTTGCTCCCGGGATCATCGATGCCATCTTCTCTGCTCCTTGCGGCGGACATTGTCTGTCCTTAGAGCCAGCGATGACGAGCATGGGGATGGAGATCTGAGAGAGACCGTCGGAGTAGAAGGAGGAGCCATCCCTGCTTGGAAGGCCGCGGGGGTCGAGAGCTTTCTTGAACTGGCGGACCGAGGGGATGGCGATGGGCTCCCAGTTCTTGGAGAACATCTCGCGAGCAAGGGAGGCGGAGACGTTGGAGCGAACGAAGAAGAGCTTGTCCCACGGCGAGTTGGTCCTGACGGCCATGGGCGAGATCATCTTCTGGAAGAAATCCGCATGGACGCAGGGGAGGTGCTTGAGGATGGGCCACATGAAGAGGTAGTGCCGCCAGGAGCTCTCCTCCATGAAGATGGTGCTCCCTATGCTCACACCGCTGCGGATGCTCGAGGTCAGGTTCATGCTCGCCATGGCGGTCAGTATCATCCCGCCCATGCTGTGACCGAGCAAGTGCACCGATGCTCCTGTCTCCTGCACGATGAGGGCGATGGAAGCCTGGCAGTCTTTGATGTGATCGTCAACACACCAGTCGTACTTCTTCCCGTTAGCCCTGCTGGGCTTCTCGCTCAACCCCGATCCTGAAACGAGAAACCAAATTCAGTCAGTCAGCCAGTGAACCATTCCTCTGCGGGCAAGCAGTTGTCCTACCTCTCAGCTCCACTATCCACGTGTCCCATCCTTCGTTGGCGAAGTATCTTGCAACGCTCGCCTCCGGGTTGAGGTCGAACGAGTGACGGTTGGATGCGAAGCCATGGCAGAGGAGGACGGAGTGATTCTTCTTGGCTATCCCTGGCGGCGCTCTACTCCGGTACCGATGGAGAGAGATCATCCACCCGTCCTCTGTAGTGCATGAGTACCGCTCCCCCTCACCCTCCGCGCCCGGTCTTGTATCTCTGCTCATCACGAAGGGAGTTGAAGTGACTTGTCAGTGCATTCTAGGGACAAGAGCGCTGGCGATGAGAGAGCAATGCGAGGAGGAGGAGAGGGAGAGGGAGAGGGAGGGAGGAGGGAGGAGGGAGGAGGAGAGGAGGGAGGAGGGAGGAGGGAGGAGGGAGGAGGGAGGAGGGAGGAGGGAGGAGGGAGGAGGGAGGAGGGAGGAGGGAGGAGGGAGGAGGGAGGGGAGGGGAGGGAGGGAGGGAGGGAGAGAGGGAGAAGCGGGTGAGGGGAGGGGAGGGGAGGGAGGAGGACAGTGTGAAGCCTGCCTCAGAGGA